ATAAGGGCCGGGGTTCTATAAGGGCCGGGGCTCTATAAGGGCCGGGGTTCTATAAGGGCCGGGGCTCTATAAGGGCCGGGGTTCTGTAAGGGCCGGGGCTCTATAAGGGCCGGTGGCGGCGGGGCCGGGAGCGCGATGGGGCTCGGGGGCGGCGGCGCGGAGATGCTCTTTCCCCCACTCCTCCCCCTCCTCTTCCTTCTCTTGCTCCTCTTCCTCGTCCTGCTGCTGCTGGGCTGCTCCCGGCCGCTGGCGCTGCGGCACGGCCACGGCCAGGTGGGCTACCTGCCGGGCTATCTACCGGGCGACCCCCGGCCAGAGCCCCCTGCCCGGCCCCCGCCGCCTCCCCGAGACCCTCCCGCCGCCCTTCCCGAACGGCTGGTACCGCCTGCTCTGCATCCCCGCCCGGGCATCCCTAGCAGGGAACCCATCCCGGGGAGACGGCAGGGGCACTGGACCATCCGTGCTCGGGCACTTCTGCCGGGGCACTGGGGCATCCAGGCCGGTATGGATGCTTCAGGAGCTGGAGGGTGTCCAGAGAAGGGCAACGAGGCTGGTGAAGGGTCTGGAGCACAAATCCTGTGAGGAGCAGCTGAGGGAGCTGGGGGGGGCTCAGCCTGGAGAGGAGGAGGCTCAGGGGAGACCTTCTTACACTCTACAACTCTACAACAGGAGGGGGAGCTGAGGGGGGGTCGGGCTCTGCTCCCAGGAACCAGCAGTGGGACAAGAGGACACAGCCTTGAGCTGCCCCAGGGGAGTTCTTTGGAGAAGTTCTTTGCAGAGAGAGGGATCAGACTCTGGAATGGGCTGCCCAGGGACGCAGTGGAGTCCCCGTCCCTGGAGGTGTTTAAGAAAAGGCTGGCTGTGGCACTTAGTAGGCGAGGTGGGGTTGGGTCAAAGGTTGGACTTGATGATCTCAGAGGTCTTTTCCAACCTAGTTATTTCTGTGATTCTGTGATTTGCACTGGCACGTACCAGCCAGCATCCCCATCAGGGCACCAGGACACCCTGCTGGGGCACTGGGGAATGTCCTGGGGCATCCCTGCCTGGACAGCCCGAAGGGGCACAGGGACATCCCTGCCCAGGCATCCCCAGGGAGGCACTGGGATGTCTGCTCATGGATATCCTCGCCAGGGTACTGCAGCAGCCCAGTGTGGGCACTGGGCATCCCAGCCAGCACCTGTGATGGGCACTGCACTGTCCTTGCTGTCCCTGCAGGGCATCTGGGGCATCCCTGCCTGGGGGCTCTGCCGTGGCACTGGCACAGCTCTGCCCACCAGCCCTTTCGAGTCAGAGTGGCTGCCCCATCCCTGAGAGTGCCCAAGGGCAGGTTGGACAGGGCTTGCAGTAACCTGGGCTAGTGGAAGGTGTTCCTGCTCGTGGTAGGGGGGTTGGAATGAGAGGAGCTTTGAGGTCCCCTCCAACCCAAACCACCTGTCACAGCAGCCCAGCACCCACAGAGGGGCACCAAGGGTATCACAGCATGGGGTCCTGGGGGACCCTGGGGATCCCTGCTGGGGTACTGGGACCTCATGGCAGTGTGGGGGCATCCCTGTGGGGGCTCCTTGCTGGGACACAGGTCCATCTCTCTGGCTGGGCTCTCCTCTCAAGCATCACTGCCTGCAGGTTCCCATGTCCTGGGGAGATTGGGATGGGGCTTCACAGCCACATCCAGAGCAGTGCTGTGCTCCTCCAGGGTCCTTTTGCCTAGAAGAGGGGTTTGGACCAGCAGAAGGGATGTTTCTGCATTGAAATCTCTCAGATTCAGCGGAAAAGGTGTGGTGGGTTTTTTCCTATTTTTAAGAGTCATCCCCTCCCGTGAAGTTGTTGGGGTTTCAGTGGTTTTGGTTTTCTTTTTTTGGGGGGTTGTTTTGGGTTTTGTTTGTTTGTTTTCTTGTTGTTTTGTTTGGTTTTTGTGGGTTTTTGTTTTTATTGTTTGTTTGGGGTTTTATAACAGGACCTATGTAATTCAATATACATTGAATTCTATCCTAGAGAGCCCCTCCAGCCTCTCTGTTATAGTTCTTTTGATTGTCTGCCCATAACCTGGTGCCTGGCACCCAGTCCTCTGGGTCTGGCTGAAATGTGCAGATGGAATCACTTCTGATGGCAGAGACAGGAGGGTACCAGTGCCAGGAAGATTATCAGTAAGACAGTTTAACACC